CGCGTGCCCCGCAGGGTAAGCACAAAGACTGTGCGCACCCTCAAGGTGCTCCGCAGTATTCCTTACCTGATGCTTGGGGCCGGAAGTGTTTTAGATTTTGAGTCCTTTTTCGGATTGTGGGACCGTGGCCTGTACATCAGGCTGTATGTACCTCCTCGTTGCAACGCGAGTCTAAGTTCAGACCCTAACCCCAGCACACGTTGGGTCAGGTACGGACTCTGCCACGTGTCATCGTGTTGGTGCTCATGAAGTTTTGGGTTTTGGAGCATTTTGGATTTTAGATCTTCAGAGTTTAGAAGATTAAGAAGGCAAGCTCAGGAAGCTTTGGTGCGTTCGGAGTCTCCTTTCTATGGCATCGCCTGCAGACACAGCCCTGCTTGTGAGTCAGCGCAGGGACCGCCATTGTGTCCTTCGGCTGCCAGTTTTTATTCTGAATACATGTAGGAGTTGAGTCACACCCGGATGGTCACAGGTCACAACAGGCCAGAGAAGCTGACATTTTATTTCTTCAGTGGATTTCCGTGGAGAGATCTGGGTTCCTCTCTGTTTTGGAAGAATGCCATAGTGGTTCAACCCGAGAATGAAGGGTCTGGGAAAACACTTTCTCTAGGCCGGCAAGGCCCTTCCCCAGCCTAGGCGAGCTGAGCTCTGTGGGGAGACTTTGACCCCATAGGAGACTTGAGGTCTCAACCACAGCGTCCCCAGGGAGCCTTTGGCACGAAGCCCAGGTGCAGAGGACAGGGTGTGGGAGAAGCAGCGGTCTGACCAGGCCATTGCCTCTGCACGCCCCAGCCACCTGTGGCCACGGTCGATTAGGAGTTGGTGATTTCTGCTGAGCACCTTCCCCTCGGTCTGGCTGTTCAGGGTGGGTTCCCGTTCTCCTCTGCAGTTGGCAAGCAGTAGTCAGGAGGGCTGGGAGGTGCAGGCTACAGACGGGCCTGTTCAGGTGGGGCTGCAGCTGCTGGCTTCCATGGTGCCGGCCTCTGGCTCTCGCTGAGCGGGGCTGTCTTCACTGTATAGCAGCCCTCGGGGAGGGCGGGCACGTGGGGTGTCTGGCTCTGCAGACGCAGACCGTGAGCAGTTTCTGTTTATGAAATCCTGTGGTGTGTATGACTGCTTTGGACAGACACACTGTGTGTTAGTCTGTCAAGGAAATTGGTAAGGAATTCTCGTCTCGTCTCCGCCTGCTGCCCAGCACCTGGACAGGAGACCACGGTGTGCTTAGTGTCTCGGCTCTCAGGCTGCGGCAGTTGTTTGGTGAACACCGTGAGCGTTTAGCCTCTTCTGTGTAAGCGTTAACAGGTTCTCCGCAGGCTCAGGGTCCTCGTCGAAGCTAGATCTCTGTGGTTAGGCTAGGAGACTGCCCTGCATCCATTGTCCCTGCGCGTCAAGTCCAAGGCGCTTTCATGTGAGCTCTCATTGCACTCCCCCGGTGCCGCCAGGGTGGGGAAAGAGACAGTTTTCTTTTTATAGCTGTTTGAAAAATCTGCTGAGTAACTAAAAGGTAAGCAGGGGCTATTCTTAGGAGCAGAGAAAGTCGGATTCAGGGGACGGAAGTGGCCTCTGCTGAAAGACTGGAAATGCTCTCCATCTGTGGCTTGGGCTGAGCCAGCACTTGAGGACGGTTTGTTCAGACCGCGTGTGTACCCCAGTGCCCATTCCGCACTCGGCCCTTTTCTCCCCGTCTGGCCTTTCCTGCCAGTGTTGTTGGGCCCCACTGTGGGGAGTGGAGGACTTGGCTCGCCTACCGGAGGCCATGGGCATTGTTGGTCCAGCCACCAGATGAGTCGAGGCTGGGGGTGAAGTGTGAAGACCCTGTTGGGGGTGCCTCCCTCCCTCCCCACTCACTGCCTTTGCTCTCTCTTGAGAGAAACGGGTAAGCTTTTTTAAAAAAGAGAGATTTCGAGGGTGCTCATAAAAAGCAGTTTAAAATGTCTGTTTAATTTACAAAGTGAAGCATTTTTCTCTCATGACTGCGGAGCCCTGTCCTCATCCTTCAGCTGTTGTGATAGAAGGAACAAGGAGTTCGCGTTTTATTGCTGGTTTTAGAAAAGGATTTTGGTGGTCACTGAATTCAGAGAGTTCCCCAGAGAGCCAGTGGTCTCTCCTTGGGGCCCTCGCTCAGTCTGTGCCCCTGCCAGGGCGGAGGGCAGCCAGGGCGCTCACCACAGGAGGGCGTGGGCGGGCCCCTCAGGCCTGCTCTCCCACCAGGTCCCTTACTGGCAGACAGGGCCATCTAAGGCGAGCGGGTGTGAGCCCAGCCCCCCCACCCCCATCCCCCACCCCGCGAGCCTTCTCAGGCCTGCCCTTGGAGGAGAGCGTAAGCACCCAGGTCTCTCGGATCTTTAGAACTGAGAGTGCTGGAGTCCGCCCCGGCAGCTCCCCTTGACCCCCCTGAGGCTCGATTCCAGTGTTAGCTTTTGCCTCTAGGTCCCGCCATGGGCTAGATTGAGGTAGAGGTGTAACTTGACCCTCAGCAGGCCTGTGTGAGACAAGCGAGGAGCATTTGCACCCTCCCATTCTTTGGGGGGATGCCGAAACCCCAAGGCGTTAAGTTACCTGCCTCAGGTGGCGAAGGTCACTCAGTTGGTGAGGGGACCTGGCAGAGCCCAGGTCCTGTGGCTCTAGCTCTGCTCTGTGTGTCGTGTGGAACAGGGAAACCCGACAGGTCAGTCAGGCCCCTGGGCCCAGGTGCTCTTGCACACCTGCAGGGAAAGGTAACTCCGGCATCTGGGCACATGCGTGTTGTGTGCGCGTGCTTTCGTGGATCTCCTCCTAGGTGTGCCTTCCCCTCGGCGCAGAGGGCCTGGCTGCGGGGAGCCCACATGGCCTTGACCTTGGGCCCTGGCTTTACCCTACAGCAGTCTAGTTACAGTGCTCAGTAACTTCTCCAAACTCGAGTTTCTAGTTTACAAAGATGGGTTTGGGTTACTGTTCTCTACAGCTGCAGCAGTCGGTCCCGAACTTGGCTTCAGACGACACTTACTGCCTCCTAGTTCCATGGGTCAGGGACTCAGGAGCAGCTTAGAGGGGTGTTCTGGCTCAGGGTCTGACTGAGATTTCACTCGAGCAGTTGGCTGGGGCTGTGTTCATCTGAAAGCTTCACCAGGCTGGAGGGTGCTCTTCCAGGCGATTGTAGGCGGGCACCTCAGCCCTCCCAGGGTGGACTCTCCGTTGGCCGTTTGAGTCCCCTTAGTGGGGTGTCTAGCCTGCCCCGGAGTGTTCGCTCCGAGAGAGGTCGCATGCACACAGGATGAAACCGCGGTGCCTCCTGCGAGCAGTTTGCAGTCGCACACTTCACCCCTGCCCTGTTAGAGGGAGTCACCAAGTAGCCCACAGTCAAGAGGAGAAGAATTAGACTACACGCCTTGAAGGAGACGCGATTAAGGGGTAGTTATCGCCACCCTAGGGCACCCCGGGGTAGCCGCAGGAAGCGTGTTTCAGCCTGCACCGGGTACTGCTTGGCTCCCAGTAGAACCAGCCTTGTGTGGCCTGTGGGGCCCTGTCTAATCTGGGCCCAGGGGAAATGCCCCACCTCTGAGCTGATTTCTGCGTTCCCGGCTCCACCCCAGGCCATACCCCTCTCTGACCACTGCTGACCTGTGCTCTGTCCTTGCTGAGCGGTGGGGCAGGAACAGACTGATTTCAGATGGAGCTGCTACCGAGGGAGAGAAGTGACAGACTCTGTCGCTGAGCCAGAGGCTGACATGATAATCGCCGTACTCACTCCCTGGAGGGCAGTGCTGTGGCTTAGGTTAATTTCCTCTCTGCCAAGTGTACTAGTGATCCTCAGGAGAATAATTGGGGGATTGCTTTCGAGGACATTAGATAGAGGGTGCATTCTTGCTCATTCTGTGTTCTGAGACGCAGCAGCAGATCTGGCCACTGAGAACCCCTCCTGTGGGCTCCTACCTATAAACAGAGCCGGCCGCACGTGGGGCGGGGCAGGGCAGGGCAGCGCAGGGCAGGGCAGCGCAGGGCAGGGCAGCGCAGGGCAGGGCAGCGCAGGGCAGGGCAGCGCAGGGCAGGGCAGCGCAGGGCAGGGCAGCGCAGGGCAGGGCAGCGCAGGGCAGGGCAGCGCAGGGCAGGGCAGCGCAGGGCAGGGCAGGGCAGGGCAGCGCAGGGCAGCGTAGGGCAGCACAGCTGGTACTGGCTGGACGGCGCCCTGCACACAGGGCCGG